GCTTGTGCTTGTAATGGAAAATGGAAATATTGTAGTGGTTACACTTCTGTTATGTGGTTATCCAAACTGGCGCTACATTGAAGATACTGATGATCAGATGAGATCAAACTGGCCGAATGAATACTGCATTGAACAAGGAGCTGATATGATAAAAGTTGGAAATTTTATGCGTGAAGAAAATGATCAGTTATATCAAGACATATTTTGCAGACAACTTCCTTCACCTGCTCTATAATTATAGTCAATCGCATTATACGGTATCAATATGCAATAAACACTAGATATTCATTAATGACTACAATATGCAATAAACACTAGATATTCATTAATGACTACAATATGCAATAAACACGAATAAGTAATCATGATGCATAGACCTTTAGAACATTCTATTTACATGAATAATGAAATAATTTAAATTTGGAAGACAACGGAGATTAACAACTGTTATCTAAATTCTTATATTTAACTTTTAAAAAATAAGGGTAGCTTTTGTAATGTGACTTTATCAAAATTATTCATTTATTTGTCCAAGTTGAAAAAAAAATAGGTTAGTAAATTGAGATGTTTACTTATCTGTACGTATTTAAGTATTTTTGAATATGTACCTTGAAGTAAGTAGTGGAATTTATTAATGATATTTTAATAGGGACATAAAAATGAATCCACTATTGCGTTCATTATTTAAAGATCATGTATGTTGTAATTAAGGATGTAACAACATTTAAGTGAAATTTTGTATATGTATATAATTAACAATTTCCAAACATCCAATACATTTGTACATGTTAAAAAGGATTGCAGTATTTCAATTAATCGTAACATATTTACTTTGGTAAATTGACACACTGTTAATCAGTCTAGTAAATCAACTGTTTATATAAAATATGTGGCTATGCCGCGCCTGGCCAATTTAATTTTGTAAATGCATACTAATACTAAGTAATTATTAAATTTTATGCATTCATTTTTAATTGAAAAAAAAATTAGACTATATCGAAAATAAATTTATAAATACCTCCCTTCATTTGAGCATTATACGTATTTATAACATAAAACCATAAGAAAAATGAGTTACTGGATCTTTAAATGTAGTACCCTCGTTTTGCCAGTACACAAAGTTGTAAGCTTTATATTGTAAAAGTACCTTTTCATGGTTCTCAAATGCACCGTGTATATCCAGTAACGCCGGAATGTGAAAATAACGCACGATTCGTGCAATAAGTAACGCAGAATTGTGCAATAAATGGCGGAATACCTGACAGGATTTCCAACGCGGTAAGTAAACTGGCCAATATATTTTTTGATGACAGGATAGACGGGTTGACCTAAATAAAATCTCTGCTAAACTGTTCAAAGAAATGCATACATGTTTAAGTACCAGTCAGGTAAAACCTGCATTTTTATCTGTTTTTACACAGATAAATTTATTATGTACGTATTTGCTTTCGAGTCCATGCACAATTTCTGTTGATATACCGAAGAGATGTAGCTTGTACTTATTCTCCCTTACAATGTGGCCATGCCACGTGACTTTTCGGGTACGGAGCACGCCGATTTTTCACCCGATTCAGGTATGTTTTTTATTCATAACTTATTTATTACTCAACCGATTTTGATCAGATAAGGCGCAGAGTACCCGCAATTATATCAGCTTTCCATGGTATATCAAAATTCTGAAAACCCCTGAATGGTTTTTGAGAACATTCGAGTACAGTTTTCTTCTCATAGCCGGGACCGAGGGGAACGGTACACACTCATTTGTTCAGTTGTTCCAAAAATTTATGCTGTTTTGCAATTTTTCGATGGCCCGGATACGTTATTATGTATTCATAACTTAAGTTAATCGGTACTTTTGGCAGAAATAATGTGCCAATGCTTAAAACACTAGAAAATATGCAAAAACACAACAAAATGTGATTTTAATACCTTACATCATTCTCAGAAATATTCAAAATCGGTCTTTTTGTCCTGTCGCTAGTAACGGTGGTATATTTCAAATGAGTCTTAACAACAGTTAATGAAATTTCTAAGAAAAGAACTTTTCTCAGTAACTGAAATAGACCTATCTTGTACTTATAAAGAAGGAAAGTGTCCAGTCCAGTTCAAAACCTAACAGCCCAGTTTGATACTTCTATGTCTCCAAAATAGTATTAACTTCCGTTACAGTTATTAAACTTTGTTTTGTAATGCTATGCACATTCAATAATGTTGTGTTTATGGGATATAATATCAGTGGATTTTGTTAAAAATTGTTGAATTACCCTTGTATGTTATCAAAGTTACATAGTCGAGCATCATAGCACATCATACAGTTTCCACTGAGAAAAAACAAAAACATGTTTAACTTCCGTGACCAAAAGTTTAGAAACATTTCAAGATGTAACTTCCCTATAATGGTTCATAATGATTTTTTAGGCTTACAAGAAGATGGTGTAGTGGTTGTTGTTTCTTTATAATTGACATAAATATTGAAAATCGGTTTTCAAAGAACATTTTTTTAACTTCCGTTACTGTTAACTTCCGTGACATTTTTGGTGATTGTTATCCTACCTATGCTATGATAATGTTAAAAGATATTTGAAACACTCTAAAAGGATTGTTAAGTTCAAAGCCAGCATACTTTGAAAAATGCAAAAAAAGTTGCAATAATATTAAATCAAAATTAGCTTCTATCGTTAACTGGTGAGTGTTCATTAATATCCTGTACATTTTCACTCTTAACAAAAGTTTTATTCGAAAAAGAAAGTTATCTATGTGAGAACTGTATTTCTGTGAATGGAGAAATGTAGCAATATGAAATCTTTAGTAATTCCATGTACATGCGTGATGGAAATGTATATGCACAGTAACGGAAGTTAAATTCCAAATTGTTTAAATTCTTTAATTGCAAAAAGATAGAAAAGTGTATTTAACAATATGTTTTTATACATAAGCATATGCAGTTATTACCAATCGTAATTTTTATTTACAATACCGTGGCTAAAATATCTAGAAATCTTAGAAATTCAAGCAAGGGTAACGGAAGTTAAAAATAATTTGGCGGTTTTGTTTTCCTTTGCAAATAACCTGCATTAAGACAAAATTATTTGACAGAAAGTAACACTCCATCCCACAATATAAAAAAACTAACTTCATGTGACATTTACCTAACACTTTTCATCTTGAGAGTTCTGCATATGTAAATTGTGTGGTAACGGAAGTTAATATGATTCTGGTCTGTTTCAATAAACCAGTATGATGCCATCATTGATACAGAATAATAATTATTGGATTGGCAAAACAGAATTTTTTTGTCGTGTTATATCACAAATGTTATATATTTTACTTAAATTAAGCCAATGTTATACAAAACATTATGCATTATTCCTTGCGGTCTGAAGACCGCAGGGTATTGGTACGCGTTTAACTTTTGAGGCATGGAGGAGCACGTGACCTGTTTTCGGTACATGGAGGAGCATGTGATCTGTAAACCGTACAGGATTGGTTAATTGACCTTTTCGAAAACCTAGCTAAATACCTTTTGCCGTTTGCCGGTACGTTACGGATTTACCTCTAGGGAATTAGTCCGAATTACACCTAATAACAAGAAAAAACTATTACGTGATATTTCTAATTTTCTATAATTATTTTACCGTTTAAGATGGAAAAACTTGAATGATGTGTTTGAAAATTATCAATGTTTCTTTAATATCTATCTCAAATTTTACAAAAAATAAATTGTTTATACTGAAAATCTACAAAATTAAAATATTCGTAGTGGCATCTGTCATACTAAATAGAGATATTTTCTGCGTAAACTTGTATGTCTATTTTAATTTTTTTTTTGCTCGGAATTATTCAGAAAATGGTATTTAATCATTTTCTTAAAAAGAAATAATTGTTTTATGTTCAACCTTCTCCGGTCTCCGGTCTTCAACGGTCACCAGTTTCCAAAGACCTTCTTCTATATTGATCGGTTATTGTCAACTATATTCCTGATACAAACGTTTATTTATCCCCCCAAACAATGTTGAAAATAGTGAAATGAAATATCTTTATATCATTAAAAATGTTCCCCGCAGGAAACCATTTTACTTGTAATCTATTGATTTTTGTTTTTATCCTTAGTTATGTGTTGGCCATATCTATAAAGCGATGGTCATTAAAGAGCTAAAAGAAGCATATATTTTACCAAATTGACTGCAATATAGATTCATCATTAAGATACAATCCAGTCATAGCAAAAAAGATGGAAATACAATAATTTGTCCTTTAAGAGCCAAGGTCATACATTGGTCGATGTCAGACATCAATATTCATAAAGGCGTCATCCCAAGAATTTTGTGTATTAATATGAAAGCAATCCATTCAAAAGGAATAATATATAATAAAATATAATTAAACGTACAAAAATTACCTTTAAGGTCAAGGGGTTTTATGAATGAAAGTAAAGGTTTGTTTTGATTACTTGAAGGCTATTGCAAAGGATTGTGGCATCAAAGTTTTGAATTAATCCATTGAAAAAAATAAGTTACAGCTAAGAAACACAAAAATCAAGCAAAATTCATAAATTTGACATTAAAGTTAAAAATGCTCTACTGTTTTTACTTTTTCTAATAGCAAACAAACAGTTGAAAGTAATCTTGATGAGTGAACTTCATAGTCTGTTATGCTGACTCCAAGATCTATCATAGAAGATTGATGTTTAAAAAAAAATCAACTGAGAAAAGTCTTAAATATAATTTGTCAGTAAAACATTAATGAAAATACATTATTCTATAAGTTAATATTATGACAAAATTTTTGATTCAAAATCTTGGGACTTGTGAATGTTTCATTAAGCTATATGATAAAAGCAGCTGTTTCTAAGATGTAATTTTTTTTAATGCTATACTTTGATCTTGTGACAATTACATGTATTTCATAACCTGGCATACACATCTCTTACACATATTCTAACACATGCACAATATCTAACTGTTAACTCTGAAATTTTCACCATGTTTTTTTGTTTGTATTTTAAAGATTTCATCTTTTCAAAACAAGTGATTATGAACTAAAAGTTTTATCGATATTGGTAAAAATTTCATAATCTAACATTAAAATGTCAGTTTCAATCTGTGCTGGAAGTGGGAATGATATGTCACTTATTAACTAAAAACCATGGAATCAAAGATTATAAAGTAAATTTTCACTTCCTATGCTGCACTTGTTTCCAATAAAATAATTGAAACAAGTAAAGCTCAAAATACATATATCATATTACTTTGGTCTCTGGTTGGTGTCATGTAAATCATCAATGGCGCTTCATGGTTTACATAAAGTCAAATTGATATCAATACAACTGTTAATTTTTTACTTTATAACACACACACACTCAATTAAATGCTATTCGCCATCACACCAAAGATTGGAATGGAATAAAAAGACACTGCCTGTGCTGTTCAGATACAAAAGAGCGTAATAAAACAAAATTGCTACTTAGCCTTTTTCAAGTGAGCTAAAATCATCAACAAACATAGGTTTTTTGCTACACAAATGCCTGTAAAAAGAAAACATGTGCTTAAAAATAGTTACAGTCTCTTAAATTATATTCAAACAATGTAAAAAATAAAAAAAACTTTTGCTAATATACACATCACAAATGTCAAACAATTCAAGACTGTGATTTAGTTGTCAATTGGTCTTAGAATTAACGTCTTTTTCATACAGATCAAGAAATCTATCCATTCTGGTCATTTTTGCTTGGTGGTGTTGCTCCATTCTTTTATGGAATTCAGTGTTCTGTCGTTCCATCATTTCTACAATTTCTGTGGATCTCCTTTTTATTCTTGATTTGCTTTCTTTTGGTTTGCTTGCTGGCATCTCCTTTTTTACACTAGGGGGTTGCAGATCTCCTGACATTTCAGCTTTCTCTATGTCCCGATACTCAACTGGCGACTTTGTACTGTCGAGTAAGAACTGGGGTTTTGTACTGGCTTTAGTGCCATATAACTGATCAAAGTCATTTCTCTGTCTGAAAAATTTTGCTTCTGTGCCTGTCCCTGCATCTACAACTTCCTTCCAATTTTTTCTTTAAACTGAAGTACTTGTTCATTGCCTGAGTAGATGTAATGTTGCAGTTTAATGTCTTGTTGATTTCTTCTGCAATAGCTTTCCATAACAAACTATGATTCTTAGTTTGAGTAAACTGATCATTTTTATCATGACGTAATGACACAAGAAGGTCCTCTTCATTAGATTTCCATGTATGAATAATGCTGTCTGATTGACTGATACTTTCAGATTTTCTTACAGATAACTGATTTTGATTATTATTATTAGATGATTGAAGGTTGTTGACACCTAGCTGAGGTTGACTGGCATGTAATACAGACTGTGTGTTAGATGGCTGAAAGTTGTTGGTATCTACATGAGGTCGACTGTAAACAATCTGAGGTTGACTGGTGTGTAACAGAGATTGCATGTTGGACGACTGAAGTTTGTTGACAACTAGTTGAGGTTGACTATAACATATCTGAGGTTTGCTGTTTTCTAATGAGGGTTGGCTTCGACATGACTCAAGTTGGCTATTTGTCAGCAGACCATTTATGAGCCCCTCCTTCAATGATGGATCTAAAACATTCAAAATTAAAAATCAATTAATGAAAAATTAGACAATTTGTACCAAAGCCAACTTTTTGGATGTTTGCTTACAAATATGCGCTTTTATTGGTTACTGTATCAGATGCTGAAGGATATATAAAAACTTTGACACAAGCATTTAAAACATACCCTTAATCCAGTGGAGAGGGCAAACTGCCATGAGCTATATATTAGTTTATAGTTATTATACAGATGCCATTTTTTGGTCAGTTCTAGCAAGAAACTAGCCCATCCAATTTCTTATTTTTCAATTTTTGAAAAGATCCAAATAAATTAAGTTCTGTCAATTGGTCCAAAGAATTCAAAGGTTTTTTACCTGTATCTTTAGAGAGTATTAACTTTGCCAATTCATCATCACACTGCAACTGGCTTTGCTGACCATTACGAGTTATTGTTAGAATCTTCATCCTGATGAAAATAACAAATGTATACCTTCATTATTTTCATTTTTATTCATGTTTTAAAATGCTCTCAATAAAGTTATTTGAAAAAGGGTGAAAATTTTCCAATGACCCTATTGACCAAGATGAAAGCAGCATGCCTCCAAATGAGCAAAATTATTTCATGGGAATCAAACTAGGGAAGATTGTATGAAGAGATTAAGATAAGTAAAAAATATAATAGTAAGGGATATTTTTGAATTCTGTGAAGTGTTATTGTTAAAGATATACTAGGCTCAAATTTTAAATTTAAAAAAAAAGTGATAATTCCTATACAGTCTGTCTGTAAATGTAAAATAAAGATGTTTTGAGCACGCACGCACGCACGCACGCACGCACCAACACACACACACACACACTTCATAAATTCAGTTTTTCACTCTACACACTAAAAGTAAATAAATAGTGTCTTTAAAAAACAGTTTTTTTTTAAGAAATGGCAAACTTAACTTGACATGTAATATTGAATTCAGCTTTCAATTCACATTTTGTGTTGTCTTTATTCGAACGAGACATATTCAGTTTGAAATGTTTTAGAATTTGATACACTACTGCACCAAAAATATTTAGCTTTAAGATGAGCTTAGTACATCTTTAATATACATGGATTGACAGCCATATGAATGGGCATGAAAGTTTAAACAACAATCAATACAATTCAAATATTTTAAATGTACATCATACATTACGAAAAGCAGCAATAATGGATCAGGAAAACTAAACACTTAATTTGTTCCCTGCGGTCTGAAGACCGCAGGGTATTGGTACGCGTTTAACTTTTGAGGCATGGAGGAGCACGTGACCTGTTTTCGGTACATGGAGGAGCATGTGATCTGTAAATCGTTCGTGATTGGTTAATTGACCTTTTCGAAAACCTAGCTAAATACCGTTTGCCGGTACGTTAAGGATTTACCTCTAGGGAATTAGTCAGAATTACACCTAATTAACAACAAAAAACTATTACGTGATATTTCTAATTTTCTATTATTATTTTACCGTTTAAGGTGGAAAAACTTAAATAATGTGTTTGAAAATTATCAATGTTTCTTTAATTTCTATCTCAAATTTTACAAACAATAAATTGTTTATACTGAAAATTAAAATTAAAATATTCGTAGTGGCATCTGCCATACTAAATAGAGATATTTTCTGCGTATACTTGTGTGCTTACTTTACTTTTTTTGCTCGGAATTATTCAGAAAATGGTATTTTATCATTTTCTTAAAAAAGAAATAATTGTTTTATGTTCGACCTTTTCCGGTCTCAGGTCTTTAACGGTCACCAGTTTCCAAAAACCTTCTTCTATATTGATCGATTATTGTCAACTATATTCCTGATACAAACGTTTATTTACCCCCCAAACAATGTTGAAAATAGTTAAATGAAATATCTATATATCATTAAAAATGATCCCCGCAGGAAACCATTTTACTTGTTATCCATATTACCTGTACTGTATTAGAAGCACACTGCTCACAGATTGTCCCCTTCAGTTCTTTTGTAAGATGCAGTTCTAGCTCGTAATAAGCACAACTGGCATGAAAACATAGACGACAATGTGGACAGCGAAAATAAATCCTGAATTGTAAAAAAAAAATGAAAATAAATTATAATAATGAATTATATCTAAGTATTAAAAAAGTAATTACTCTAATAAAATTCAACAAGTGTCTTG